TGGTGTGCCCATATGTCACCACTGCTGTGTGAGCTGCATTGGCTGCCAATTGGCTTCTGAGTGTAATTCAAGGTGCTGGTTATTACCTACAAAGCCCTGTATGGCATAGGACCTGAATATGTGAGAGACTGCTTATCTGCAATCGTTTCTGCCTGCCCAGTGCATTCCAGCAGAGTAGGTGAGCGCCAGGTCCCTTCCATTAAACATTGCCACCTTGTGGGACCTAGGAAGCGTGCCTTCCCTGTTGCAGCCCCCCACCCAACAGAACAGCATTCACACCCCCCCCCCACCCCAAGAGATAAGGATAACCTCTCTCTCCTGGGGTTCCAGGAAGCCTTGAAAACCTGGCTCTGGCCCCAGTCTTGGGGTTGATGTTTATGATTTGTTGAAGGCCCTTGTTCCGTTCCGTTTTGTTCATTTTGTTGTTTATCAGGTTATTTTAGTCTGAGTTGTCTGTCTGGTTTTACGTCTTTAGCTGTTTCTGTTTTTTCTAGTTCTGTACACCACTCAGAGTCCACTGGAGCTGGGCAGCCAATAAGTTTAAATAAATAAATTAATTAATTAATTAATTAATAATAATAATAATAATACTCTTCACACTCAGAGCAACTATTCCCAAGATTGGTATCCCTATGAGCAGCATTTTAGTTAATCTGACCCCAACTTGGAAGCCCAGTGTTCATCCACTTTAGCCTTGAGTTTCTTAGTATTCCTTAGCCAACCTTTCTGTTGTCGCTTCTCATTTTCAGGGCCCTTGCCGTCGGCAGATGGAGGCATCATTGCAGGAGCTCAAATCTAGCCAGCGAATGATCCCACGGGCTGTCCATCTTCCCAACTGTGACAGGAAAGGTTTCTATAAAAGGAAACAGGTATTATTCCTGCTGCAATCAAAAGAAGAATATATACTTTGCAGAAAAGGGGCAGGGGTCAAATTCACACTATTTTTTCATCATCAATCCTGACACAAGGTTTGAGTTCCCACCAATGGGAAACCTCTTGTCCTAAGGCTATTCTTAGAGTGATGCATCATGGGCCCTAGCTGAGACAGAAGTCAAATTCCTTCAGCTGCAGGAAGCCCCACAATACCGTGGGGAGACAGGAGTACATTTTAAATCATGAATCACTGCAAATGCTGTATATGGCAGGGTTCCAGATAGGATATCTTTGCTCCTATGCAAGAGGAGAGGGCAGAGTCACCTCCTCAGAAATGTATTCTGTGGCCCTCTCCTGCATACCCAATAATTGAATTTCTGGCAGTTGGGGAATCTTCCATAGGACCTGTCCTGCTGATCTAAGTAACCAGCTGGATTTATATTTCCATCCTCCTTCTCATTATCTTGATAAGTTGAAAGTTCAGATTAATTTCCTGCAAGATGAACAAGGTGTTAGAAGTGGCAACCTCACCTGTCTTCCTTCTCACTGTTGACCCTTTTCCTTCCCCTCTCTAGTGCAAACCATCTCGGGGCCGAAAACGTGGGCTGTGCTGGTGTGTGGACAAGTATGGGTTGAAGCTGCCAGGAACTGATTATGTAGCTGGAGACCTGCAGTGTCACAACTTCGACAGCGGAAACACAGAATGAATATCCCTGTTGCCTCTCCCTGCCAGAGCCCTTCCCCACCCATCACCCACCCACACCTCACGATGCCCCAAGAGACTGATTCCTTTCATCTCATTTAAGAAACTGTGGACCTCGGAATCTACAGCATGTCATCAGCTTCTCTCAGTGGCAATGACAGAGACTGAAAGAGAAAAGGCAACCCATTAAGAGGAAGGAAGGAAGGAAGGAAGGAAGGAAGGAAGGAAGGAAGGAAGGAAGGAAGGAAGGAAGGAAGGAAGGAAGGAAGGAAGGAAGGAGATGACCATGAGGATGATAGATAAGCCAGCCACCTCCATGGGACAGAGCCATAAAGAAGCTCATAGGCCACTATGCTTGCCCATGACTCTAGGCTGCCACCCAGAGAAGCACTGACCTAGGAAGGTCTCAGAGGCACTTGAATAATATTTTCTTTTCTCCCTTCTTTGATATTGCGGGTTTAAAACCTTTCCAGTTTAAAAAGTACTTAGTTTAACCAGATGACTCTTAGGACAAGCAGGCCTCTCGTTTATATAAAATTATCTATTTGGGCATCTTTCTTTCTTTCTTTCTTTCTTTCTTTCTTTCTTTCTTTCTTTCTTTCTTTTTCTTTTTTTTTTTATAAGTTCATTTCTGAAACCTCTCCTCCCTTTTCCCAAGGACTAAAGCTTGTTGGTGCCCTTGCCCTCTATGAGTTCTCTTTTACTGAAAAGAAAAAGGTCAGAAGACAACAGAATCCTACAGTGGGATGAAGCAAAATTAAGAATTAAAAACTTACTGATCCCAGTGGGTTTCTTTCCCAGGACAGCAAGAGGGTTCAACCTGATTATTTAAAGTGTCTGTACAGCCCTTTCCTATGTAAATACAGATGTGTGCACATGTTTACTCTTTGTTCTCGATAGAACAATCCTGTTTCCTTACATGCAAAGCCCTTTGATTTTAATTGTGCATGAAGGCCGAGCAACTTGTTCAGGGCTATTGCGTAAGTCAAAGGTGTTCAGAGTTGGGTATTTGCAGGATAAGTGCCCAAGCTGACACATGGTTTGCCAGACATCCTGCAGGCACTTAAATGTTTGTAGCTTATATAAACACACCTGTGGATTTCCACCTTCTGATAGGCTAAAACAATAAGATCCCTTTGCTTTTTTATTGTGGAAGGACACCTGATACTTCACTACGACATCCCAAGTGTTGTCCTTTGCAAGGACAATTCCAAGAAGCTAGTTCATGATTCATAAAATCACACATACTAGAAATGTAAACATGATCTGTAATAAGAGAAATGTTTTACCATTTCTCCGTATCTACAACATTTAGGGAAGTCACTGTAAGCAGAGGCCTCTACTGTTTCAAAGCATACTTGAGTGACTGGCTGAAAATAGGTTGTCCCTTTCCCCCCGCCTCTCCTTGGACAGAGGCTCAGCATCTCTAACAGCTGCTTAGTGAGCAAAAATTCAACTCTGCAGGTTTGATCTACACTAATGTGTTATTTGTCCTGGGGAGAAACTGTATCTATTTAATTTTTGACACTGCCCCACTGTTAAAGACCTAGGGACCCTGTCAGGAAAGAAAGAGAACAGAGCCCAGAGAACCACTGGCAGAAACCATTGATTTGACAGCTTTTGCATTCAGGCTCGGGCAGACCACTAAAGCCATTTAATTTCTTTTTAATTATAATTGTTGGTTTAATTCTTTGTTATGTTTCCATGGACGCTGCCATAACAAGGTGTTTGTTTTTTGTTTTTTTTCCCCAATGCCCATAACAATAAATGAAATGCAAGGAAACAACAAGAAGGGAACAGCTCCCATTCTGACTGTGGGAGGAATCATTGAAACAGCAGCTGCCAAGAAATATTGGGCAACCACGATCTAGCCAATATAAGACACCCCCTTAATATATTTCCCTTCTGAGGGAGGACTCCAAAGGACTTGAGGACCTTGCTGGGGCTGGCTGCAAGCACTTCCAGGCAAAGTGCTGATCAGAAGCGTGGAGAAAGGAGCTGGTTTCCTGAGAGCAGGTACAGCAAACCCATGACTGTCCAGCATCTGGAAAGGGTGCTACTGATAGGAGAACCAGAAGGATGGCCATGATGCACAATACTCACAGCTAGCACAGACAAAGGAAAATAAGAAACCTTCCTAACAGGATTGGCTACTGCATCCAAGTGACTGTGGTGGGTTTTGTTCCTCAGTTCCCCTCCCTTCACCACTAATATTCAGCTAGGCTCCAAAACTAAGTTGAAAAGCTAACAAATATCTGGCATTAGCAGGTATATGGGAATTGGCAAGAAAATTTAGATATTTGGCCTCACTTTATGGAAGGGGGAGGTAGATGGGCAAAATCCTCTCCTTATAAGGACAGATATTCACATTTATTTCTTCAGTAGGTATACATGTTTTTGAAGTCTGATTAGTCTTCTGCTACAACTATCAACAATGAAAGAAAAATTCAGCTCTATCCATTTGTTCCACATCCTGATACCTGATCCAGTTATTTGTTAGTATTCAGTTTTCTAGAAATTGTCACCTCTGGGTACTCCATCTGTTGCCTTCCCTGGGTTTTGACAGCAATGATTTCATAGCTATTCTTCTAAGAGTTGAGGCTCAGCCTACCATGAGCTTTCATACAAAAAAGGGTTGAACTGTACTTTGACTGAAATATTTGCTACTGTGACAGCTGAATCCAAGTACCTCCCCCCCTCCCATCCTGCTTTAGGAAGATGAAAATATGCCTATGTTTACTATCTGCACTGGGCTGGTCACTGGTTGAATTGTTTGTGTCTCTCTTTTGTTCTAAGAAAACCCTAAAGTACTCTGTTGGCTATACCAGAAGCCTAAACTTTCCTTTCCAATTGTATGATAGATAAGATGCTAGAGACCACAAATGCTAGTCAATGACAGTGTAGCTTTTTTAGAAATTCTGTGGCAGCCTTTCCAACTTGGTGACTTTCAAACGTGTTGGGACGGTGATACTCAAAATTCTCGGTGAAAAGCTCTACTGTTAGGATGTATGGGAGCTGTAGACCAACACCGTTTCAAGGCATCAAGTTGGGGAAGGTTGTTCTATATAATAAATCCAGAAATTGTATCAATGGACTTTTCTGTCCCAAGCATATGATGCATGAACAGAATACATATTAATGTGATGGTGAAAGGAAGGAAAGAATCTTTGCTGTTGCCAACTTGAGATGCCTTTTTGACAGCATCTGTGGTAACTTATGCCCAAGCAAGAATTTGTGCAGGATTTAGATTTTCTGTCAGACCTTCTATGAGGGGTTGAGAAGAGTCAAATCCAATCCACATCCATCATTGCTAGATCACAGCTTTCCCAAACCCTGATGACAGAATTTCTTCTCCAACAATAGCCCAATGGCAGACACAGATCTCCATAGGGATAATGGCCAGTGTTTCAAGCAGGGATGACCTAATAGTGAAAGAGTAATTTGTCTTAGAATTCCTCCAAATGACCAATTTCTGCCATGACTATTCCTGTCTGTACTCTGGGCTTGACATTTCCAGGGGAAACTCACCTAGAAAACCCTTTTGCTCTCCTTCCATTATAGCTAGACTAAACAGAGGAACAGAATGGTCCTGTTCATGTATGTGATATCTGCTAGCTTCTGAAGTTTGATGGTGGAGGTTGAGTTTCGTTCCCCTTTGAATGAAACTGACCCTGCCAAAGGGTGTGTTGAAGCCTCTTTATTTTCTGTAGGGCAGGGACTCTTAACAAAAGCTTTTCTCTCCACGCAAATGATACATGGGATTATTCTAAGACAGAGAAAGTCTTAGGATTTTAAAATCAATGCCTCTTTTTGTAAAAGTAAGATTAAAGAAGAGACAGTGAGGTGCACATGCAATCTGCCTAGTACATAAAGTGGGAGGAGATGTGCTGGGCACATAAGAAAAATAAGTGAGGCAAATTTACAGGCCATACTGGTTTTCTATTACTGCAGTTTGTTTGCTTAGCTCTTCCCAAAGAATCCTGACAACTAGAATTTGCTGAGAGTGTCCAGAATCTCACTATAACACTGAACATCCTAAGGTTCCTAGAAAGAGAAATGATCATTAAGTTAGAAACTTATTGTTAAATTGGTACCAGTCTGAGATGCAAATACATTCTAAGTTGCATAAGACAAAAGAATGTAACTCAATTCCCTCTTCCTTCCCTCCCTGCACTAGTTTCAACTCAAACCATCTTATTTCTTTCTTCTCCTCCTTCACCATCCTTGATATGTATCTGTGTTGTTTCCTGACACTTGAAAACATTTCCTTGCCTAGAAAAGATAAGTAAGCAGTAAACAGGCTTGAGGAAAGCCACTGGCCTTCCTATCCCTGAGACACATAACAAGGACAAATTCTATGGGCAAGAGAGGTGACTCAGGGGAATCATTTCCCCATATAGCTGTTCCCTTGCCAGTCCCAATGCAATGCTTCTATCATCCCAATCCCAAAAACTCATAAACTGCTTCCGAGGATAATTCCATCATCTCATTACTTTCCTGGCTAAGGCAAGAACAGAAGCAACCCAAGTACATTAACTATAGCAGAACCTCTCTTATATCTGTATTATTTAATTTTGACTTAAATAGCCTGGAGGACACATCACCACTGTAGACTTCAACCTGTAGAAGGCCATCTCACTGGATTTCTTGCAGCAGCACTTAAAACAGTGTTTCTCAAACTTTGTCCCTCATTACCCAAAACTGCTTATCAGAAAGTCCTTTTTATTTAAGTCAATTTCAGTGTCCCTGTTGTGATGGGTAACGGGTTCATGTGTCGGTACCAAACAAAAAACAAAAAAACCACTTTTACCCAATTTTGGGTAATTTACCTAGGTTTGGGAAGCACTGACTTAAAATCTCAGCAGAAAGGCAGTGAAGCTCCCTTTCTAAGCCATCCCTGCAAGCTATGATTATTCTAGGGAAAGTGAATTAAATAAAGGGAGGGGGGTATTGTTTTCTTCCCCACAAGGGCAGCTGATTCTGGGTGTCATAAAAATCACCACATCTTCTTTCCTTCCTGTTGTATTGTTTCCTGCAAGGGAGAGGTCTTTTTGGGTTTCCTGCCCAAGTGCCAAAATAGTTTGATCAACCATGCCCTGGGTGGAGAAAGAGGGAAGCAAGTCTCTTTGGCCAACAACCTAGCTGCTCTGGATCCCATCTTCATCCTTGATCAAAGGAAAAAGCTCCCCTGATTTTTTTTCCAATAAATGACCCTCCTCCTATCAGAGAATTGAATCACAATGAGAGGAGGTAAGAAAAAAGATAAAGGACAAAGCAGTGGGGAAAGCTCCCTTCAAAGGTATTATAGAATGGAAGTGCCGAGGAGGCTTTGGAGGCACCAAAGAAAGTAAATTCTGATCTCCAAGAGCATTATCAGCCAGCTGGAATTAGGAGCATACCTAGACCTCTAGCAGCCTTCTCCGACCTGAAGAATCTCCAGATGTGTCTGGACTAACACTCCCCAAATCCCCAGCTACCCTGACCAGAAGTTAGGGTCCCAATACATCTGGAAGGCAGCAAGTCAAGGAAGACTCTCTAGAGAGTCACACTGCAGCTGATATATTCAAAGGCAGGCAGCTTCTAGAGTAGCCAACACTTCTTTTCAGACAGAGATCCTTTGTCAGTGCTGGGGTGGACAGTTGTATTTTGAAACCACTAGTTCAAAGAGCATGACTGCACTATTTCTCCACTTCATCCCTCTCTGCCTCCTTTTTCACTTTTCACAGAGCCTAGATAACTTGTGCAGTTAGCCAGTCCCTCCAGTTCCCAGGCCCTCTTCTTGCTAGGAGCAGCTTGGCTAATGCCTGAAGGCTTGAGTCCTTCCATTTCTAACCTTGCCCTTTCCTGAAATAACGCTGGGACAGCTACTCTATAAAACAATGATTACACCCCACGATAGCACAGTGAACAGACAAGATTCCGAGATTCCTGCCTGGTTTTTTTCATTACACAAATTAGTCACTACACATTTTACAGTAGCTTTTAATAGCTTGACATACATACAGTAGTTCTGTGGCTATTTTGTTTTTGTTTTCCTTTGCAGTAAACAAGAATATTCATACTCTTACCAGTGGGGGGAAATGCAGTTTGTGAAAAAACTGACAATGGATGAGGAGTGTAATGCTCTGTTTAGCATTTTGTACTTAAAAAAAAAGAATCTCACATTTTATTAAAAGGTGAAGATTGCTGTATACTATTTATTCAACTTATAATTTATGTTACTCTTTGATCTTTGTCTTTTCTTATGACAAAGCATTTATTTAATAAAGTTATGCATTCAGTTAAGTCTGTGTGCATGGCCTGAAAAAAGTCTGTGTGTTGAATATGTGCTGGATTAAAATTGGCCAGCCTGCTATTAAAGAAGCCAGTGGAGAACCTTTTGACTTTCTTTGGAACTACCAAAGTATTAATTGCTGGAGACTGCATGGACAGAAGGCCTATACATTACAGGAATCTTGGAGGATGCAGGGCACCTCGTGGCATAGCTGAGTATCAGTGATGAACTGGCTAGTATTACCCTTAATGCATCAGAGTCCCCACCTGTTCTACTTCACTTTTCCACTAAGACAATAGCATCCATTTGTTCACATGGGAGAAGGTATCCTTTGGAATGTCACTAGGTCAAAGTCAAATCTACACCATGATGACACCAGACTGTGAATCAAAATTATTCCTAACCAGATCATGAAAACATGCCTTACATCATGTACCCTACTTTACTTGATAGTAGTGAATCTGCCTATTTGAACCTTTTGACGCTCCGTGCGGCAGAGTAAGCTCCTGTCTCATCCCCAGCTTCTGCCAACCCAGCAGCTCGAAAGCAACCGCAAGTAGATAAATGGGTACTCTCACCCTGGTGGGAGGAAAAATGCTGGTGGCGCCTTGTACGGGAGATGGGACCAGTTGCCGGTAACATGGAAGTCGTGTATGTATGAAAAAGATGTGAAGCAATGGAAACCCGGCCTTCCTGCGCCCATCAGCTGGGCTCCGCCCTAGGAAAAAGGCAATGGCAAACCACTTCCGAAACCTTGCCTTGAAAACTGCAGGGACTCATCCAGACAGTCGCCGCGGAATCGGTCACAATTGAGTGCGGATTAAAAAAAAAAAGTGAATCTGCCTATTTGAACCTTTTGATAGGAGGTCTCAGAGACTGATCTGAAGCTATGGCCTCTTCCCTATCATTTAGCAACATGCACTTCCTATTACCTGGTCATTCCAGTTTTAGACCCCCTAAATCCTTTTTCTCTATCTTGAGCTAGAGTTTAAATCAATCATTTCTGACCCTACCAATTATTGTCTAAAGGCCCCCAGGATGCTTCCAAACAACACATTATTAAACTACATTGAATTATTAATTGAATTATTACTATTATTATTATTATTATCATTTATTGAAGTATTAAACTACATTGCCTCATTTGCAGAAATTTACTGAGGGAGTAGATCATCTTCCATAGACAAATCTCCCATTATGACATCTTTTTACTTTCCATGAAAAAGAACTATTAAACAGGAAGGGACAGAATCCTACCAGAATGGGCAGTGGAAGGAACACTTCATTCTGGAAACACCCCTGCAAAATTCCTCTTCATGCATAAATGTTTAAAGTCAACATAGCTGGAAGTGATCTAGCAGGGACAATTTGAGCAATCCTCAGACTCACAGAATTCTGTAGGGGAAGATATATTATTGCAGGAATACTGTAGCTATTATCAGTTTGAAGAGTTAATGCTGGGTGAGGAATTCTGGGAGTTGAAATCCACTCATCTTAAAGTTGCCAAGGTTGAGAAACACTGGTTTAATGTGATGGAAGAAGGAAATTACTAAGTGCATTCTCATATTGCCTGTATTTAATAATTTAATTTTTATTTTATTCAGCATAAATAGGAATTTTGTTTTGTTTTGGCTCTGCTCACCTTTTTGTTCTGATCTTTTCTACCTTTGGGAGTATGCCCTCTGCCAGACAAATGCTGAACAGTCCTGAGATAGGTCTGCAAAAAAGGGCTATTCTTTTCGGTAATAGTCCAACCCAGAGAGTACCAGAAAGAACATGGGCTCTTGCACTGACTTTAGTTTCCAAACTCTCCCTATTCCAGTTGATACTTGCATAGATTCTAGATAGTGCAATAAATTACAAAATAATTTGTCAGCTACTACATGGGACCCACATACCTTTTCTCAAAGAAGCGGAGAGTAAAGTTATCATATATGGACTGCAAAAAACATCCTGGAAAAATGCAATGGCGAACGCAAGAAAAACGCATGGATGGAAGTCATCAGGAGTTTTGCTCAGCTCAGAGGGGGTTGATTTGACTAACAGGTGCAGGACCAGTGGATGCCTACAATTTCACTGTTGCCCCTGGTCATACATCCCCAACCTCCATCACACATGTCAAATATTCTCTATCTTTGTGCTTCCCGTGTTGAATTTTCTGCAACTTCTTGCTGTCATCTCATGGTTGTTTAGATTTTTGCAGCCCTTATATGATGGCAGTAGTGGACAGTGCCTAGAAAATGCCAGGATCCAGGAAAAATATGATTCCATCTCTTTGGTGAATCACTGGTCACTGACCATAATAAAGTCTGTCCTGTTCTATTGTGTTCTTGGGTGCGTTCCCATTTTCCAAGATGGAATATTAATTAATTTGCTATTATGTAAATATATCAATTGAGAGCCAGTTTGGTGTAGTGGTTAAGGCATCAGGCTAGAAACCAGGAGACCTGGAGTTATAGTCCTGCCTGAGGCATGAAACCAGTTAGGTGATCTTGGGCCAGTCACTCTCTCTCAGCCTAGGAAGCAGGCAAGCGCAAACCACTTCTGAAATCTTTCCAAAGAAACTGCAGGGACTAGTCCAGGTAATTGCCAGGGGTCAAAACTGACTTGAAGGCATTCAAGTCAAAACTGACTCATTCATATTCAAGTCTTTCTTCACTTCTGCTTTCTGCCTCATGACAAAAGTTTGCCTTGTAAATGGTAATAGAGGAATAGATCTGAATCACAGATAGCATTTTTCCCATTTCAAAAGCAAGGGAAGCTTCATCAGTCTACAGCCTGAAATCTAACAGCCCAATCCAGTACATCTCCTCAGAACTACTCCTCTCCAAGCTCAGGGAGGCTTCTTTCCAAATAAAGTGCGTAGACTGCAGTCACATCACCCATTCTATTTTAAGATGGTCATCAAGGAGTGACCCAGGTTACCCTTCTTTCCCTCTATTGTGGGAAAGGAGGACTTCACACTGAGAATCACAGAAGAAGACTGTAAAATCCCAAACTTTCCTTACTTTGGTACTTTTACTGCTGATTCCTAACAAGTGCACTGTGTTATCAGTGTTGGGATGGAGGAGACTCGAGGGTATCCACCAAGCTGCCACTCTTGTCAATCCAGCTCACATGTAATTCTTGGAATATCTCAGGAGGGCATGGTGGGGAAAATAAAAATAGACAATGTATTACCCGCCTATGAATTCTGGATTCTTCCCTGCCTCTTCTTCTTCCCATGAGTACAATTGCTTTTGAATACAACCACTATATTCCATCATTATTATTAGTTTATTTCTCACCTTTATTTTGTACAGCTCAGAATGGCATACATAATGTCCCAGTCTCCTATTTTCCCCACAACAATAATTCTGTGAGCTGGGTTGGGCTGAAAGAGAATGCTTTCATGGCTGAAGGAAGAACTCACATCTCCTGGTTTCTAATCCTGCACCTTAACCACTACACTAAACTGGCTCTTTCATGTTAAATATTAAAAAAAACAAAAAATCAGTGGGATAGTAATCTTCTGCTGCAACAACG